GGGGGGGGTGTCAGTGTGGGGTAGGCCAGGGTCTGCTCTGTTGGGATCTGAGGCCCAGATGGGGCGCGAGTGCGTACTCCAACGTGCTGCCCACAAGCAGCCCTCCCGCAGGGAGCTCCTCACAGGAAGGGCTGTGGAGTCATAGACAAGGACGAGTCCCCACCCCGCTCCCCACAGTGCCCTTTCTCCCAGGTCTTCCCACCACCGTCCCCGCCTGGCCAGCCTCCTTCGTCAGAGGCACGGTCAGCTTCCTGGAGGGGGTAGGGGGGTGGTACAGACTATTTCCCATGCGCCGTCCAGCAGACCCTGACCTCCCAGTCCTATCCACCTCCACCCCTGGCCACTGTACCTCCCTGACCCCAAGCCCCCTCCGTGTCAGGCGGCTGAACAGCTTGGGCTGACCCATGTGCACGCGGTGAGCCTGGTGCTAAAAAGGCCGCCCCTGAGCACCACTCGTCTTGGTGCCGTTCCTGCAGAGGCCAGACTGCTTCAAGGCCAAGCGGGTCCAAGCTTGGTTTGACTTTGCTTTTCCACCAACACTGCTGTATTCACCTCCCATCATGGTCAGCAGTCCCCAGAGCACAGGTGGCTGGCCAGACAGCAGTGCCGTCCCTGCTGCTCCAGTCACAAGGCTGACTGATCCCAGCTTGTGCCTCACTGGCAGCCTGAGGTGTCACTGGTCACCGGCTCACGCTGGGCATCCTGCCTCTTCCCTGAGCTTCGGAAGCGGCCTGTCAACATGCATCTGCTGTGGCCACTCGGCCCCTTCTGTCCCCACTAAGCTAGCCCTGAAACCTTCGTCCCACAGCCCAGCCCAGCCCGGGAGGCTCCGGAGAGGCCCTGACTCAAGTGTCGAGTTCGGCAGCGCTCTGAAGACCTGTCGCTCCTTTCCTTCCCAGGCGCTCATCAACCAGGGGCTGTGTCTTAGGTTCCTTGGTCTGCCTGGACGGCAAACTACACACACACACACACACACACACACACACACACACACACACACAATCTGCTGACACCAGCGCCAGCAGGCTCTGCCGCTGAAAAGTGGGTTCCCACCAGCCTGCACTGGGTGCTGACGCCTGGGGCTGCCACTTTACCTGGGGAGACTGCCTGGGCCCAGCTCTCCCACGTGCTGATCACAAACACCCAACACTTGAAAAGACCCACTTCTGAGCCAACTTGCTTAAAACCCCAGGGGCAGGGCTCCTTACCTTTTTGCTCCTCATGTAGGAGAGGCGGCCCTCGTGGGCGTCGGGGTACGTGCAGAACAGGTAGGTGGTGATGGCGTGCTTCAGGAAGGAGTCGCCCAGCATCTCCAGCCGCTCCAGGTTGAAGCCGTCGCTGGCGTTGGACAGGGTCAGAGCCTGGAGAATGAGCCCAGGGTTGGGGCCGAGGGTCCTTGAGGAATACCTAGCCGCCGAGGGGGGGTCCTGCTCGGAATCCGTCCTGCCCCTGCGGGCACCGCCGAGCCCCCTGGCCCCTCCCAGGGGGCGTCCATCTGAGGTAGATTGGCTAGTGTTTCCATCCAGGTTCTTGTGACCCGGGGGCGCACAGTCATCGCTGGACTTGGGCTGGTTCTCAGAATGGTCTGAACTCTGAATGGGGTGTGAGGTAGGTGGTTGTACAGGGACTTCCTGCGGGCGGCCACTCGGCTGATGTCCTTGGCAAACGTCTCTGTCAGCTAATTCACAGCCGCCGTTGGCCAGGGGTCTGCTGTGAGAGAGACCGTTCATTGCGCTGAGGTCCGTCGGGGCGTCGGTGGGGGGCTTACCCGGTGGCTCGCGGAGGGGCGCTCTGCAGCTCACAGACATTTGGTCGTGGTTCTCGGGAGGGGGGGTTCTATGAGCACCTGGACGTGCAGCATGGTCAGGGCCTACCATTGTGCTGTGCTTACAGTGGATGTCACTTTCGGCTGAAGAGTTAGAAACTGAGATGAAAGATTTGCTGTCGATGGATTTTTTCCACCCGAAGTCTAAGTTTGGGTATCTGCAAAGACACGGTGACAACTTTTCATCACAGCCTTCCTTCAGGGGGGCCAGGCTCAACCCGGGAGGGGCGACTGAAACCACAGCAGCGCGCCCCCACACCAAGGCTGCGACTTCAGGGGAGCCACGTCCAAAAAACCAGAGCGCGGAGACTGCACCTCTGCACAGTGAGAACAGTGACGATGAGGGGCCTGCGTAACAACACTGCTACACTCCCTCAGCAGCCGTTACAGACCTCGGAGCTTGGGGGTGGCACCTGACAACCCGGGCTGGAACCCTAAGTCCTCTGGTAACTGTGGCAAGGTAGCTTGGACCGTTTACAGAGCCTCTGTGTCCCTCAGCCTCTGCACCCCCGAATGAGCTACCATGGCCTCTGCTGGCTGGCGGTCCAAGGGTACAGGCCTGGCACCACGTTAAGAGCGCCTCTGCACTCCTCGTCACCATCACTGCTGTGTGCCAGAGCCCCTTCCACTTCAAGGACCACCGAGGGCTTGACAGCCATCACCCAGTTTTCCCTGAGGGGCTGCTGAGCCAGACAGCCCCCACAGGGTGCAGCAGCAACTGCGGTGGGAGGAAGACAGGGAAGGCAGGGCCTGGTGGGGGACAAGCCTGTAATGGCTGAGGGCTCTGAACAGGAGACAGCTGTCCTCCGTGTCTGCACACCTGGCCAGGGTGGCTTCCGGTCCACAGCAAGGACTCGGGCCTGTCACTGGGAGAGAAGCCTGGCCTCAAGGTCCAAGGGCACTCCCACAATGGAGCCAGGGGACGGCTTCATGATGTCACATTAAAATGTCACCTTAATTTGCCTCGAGTGCAGAAAGCTCTGGGCCCAGGTTCTTTCTGGATGCTGGGCCCCACACCCCACGGAGCCCGGGACCCTGCAGGGACCAAGGAAGCACGGCTCCTCTGGGCCTCCAGACTGTCCATCTTTGCGGGAGCAGCCGGTCCCATCTCTCCTGCAGAGCAGCCCGAGGCTGGGCAGGCCGACCCTGCAGCAAGCAGCCTACCTAAAATCCGTGGGCAGGGACCTGACGCCCACGCCGGCATCGCTGGCCGTCTGGGCCCTCAGCTCCTCTGCGGTGAGAAGGCAGTGGAGGCGGTAGAGGATGCTGGGGAGGCACACGGCTTTCCTCCAGAGCGACGCGGGGATCGGGTGAATAGCACACAGCTCTGGGACCAGGATCTGGGGGTCAACAGATGAAAAGGAACGAGTGGATGAATGCATTCTACATGCCACCGCATCGCACGCTGAAAGAAGACACAAACTAACCTTTCAGGACAGAGGAGATTTATCCTGGGGCTTACAAAAACAACTCCACATCCTGAAAAACCACAGGCTCTTAAAGCCATGGAAACCCGAGGGATCGGATGGGACCGTGAGCACTGTGAGCACAGAGGACGCAAGAGCAGCACCTCTCTTGCTCCCTAAAGGGGGCTGGCCTGCAGCGGGCACAGTGCAAGCACCAGGTGCTCACGGACTGTCAAAAAGGCCTTCACACATAACTCAACACGACATACCGGTTCCCACAAGCAAAATCAAGGGCCAGGTGCATTTTAACAACAAGTTCCCCTAATCCCCTTAAGAAGGACCTGCCCTGCCCACCCGCCGGCCGGCCGTGCACCTGCTTATTCTGCAAGCTTTCCCATTTGGCTTTTCTCTTCTCAGCACTGCTCAGAGGAAGGGCTTTCCCCTTCTGGTTCAAGTGGCGAGGCGTCAGCAGATTCAGTCTACAAAGAAGGCAGAGCTAAGTTCATTCTGTCTGTCTGTCTGTATTACACACACACACACACACACACACACACACACACACTTCCCAGCCCCACGCTGGGCATCTCTGCATGCAAGTCCTGGCTCGGGTTGAGTCTCAAGGTGGGCAGCCTTGACCGTCCCCGGGGCAGGGCGGGGCCTCACCGGGAAGACGTGTGGTCCACGTCCAGCAGGGGCTGGCTGAGGCTGGTCAGGTCCAGGTTGTACTTTGTTTTGTAATACTCAGCAAAGGTCTCGTACTCAGGAGATGGGAACTTGCTGAGTGGGGTGAGATCGGTGTACACATCCGCGACATAGAACCGATGGGGCTGATCAAAGTTGCGGTACCTGGAGAGGAACACGCCACTTTTTTGGGTGGGTCACCAGCTCCCCAAAGGCAGCCGTTTTTAACAAGGAGACAGGAACTAGGATATTTTAAGAGGTTAAAAAAAAAATACACCTTGAATGAGTGATTTTCAATTCTAGTTATCTTCCTAATGGACATGAGACAGTGAGAGCTACACATTTCCCAAGTCAAAACTAAAACGGACCGTCCTCTCCTACTGCATTTTCATTGCGCGTCCGAGTGTCTGTGCATGGTGCTGCAGAAGCCACGTGGCGTCGGGAAGCCGTTCTGAGCTCCACCACTGGAAGCAGCAGTGTCCAATAACTAAGGGACACAGTGCACCTCACGCCAAAGAGGACAATGAGGCCACAGGAGTGGCAGGCACACCACAGCAAGCACTGGACATGTGACGCCGGCACCCCGACAACACAGAGGAGCTGACTCGCATCCACGCTGCAGCTTCTCTGAAAGGGCCTCTACTTCACGTCGTGGCTCAAAAACACTCCAAACAACACCCTCCAAACCCTAGATTCTCACAAGGAAATAAAACCAGCGAAGCACCCTGACTTAGAAGTTCCACTGAGCTCGGGGTCACTGCTCAGCGTAGTCATCTGGGACACCCAGCGCTTACTGACTGCCCACTTCTAGAGGAAGACTTTGGGGGCGAAGGATGGAGGTGTGAAGGAGGAAGCCTGGGTGCCACCGAGCTTGCCTGACCATCAGAGGTGCACCCTGTCACCCATGTGTGGATCTAAGCAGGCAGCCAGGGAAAAGCAAAGCCAAGCTGCCTCGCTCTGTTCCTAGCATCAGCACCACAGTCCCTGACAGCCGGCCAGCCTCCCAGGAGAGCCCTCAATGTCCTCCAACAAGGTGTTGCCACCCCTCGTCAACTCACCATCAGGACACCCACCTTGGGATGATAACAGCGTCTTGGTAATCTTCTAATTTAAACACAAAGGGAGTTTCCTTTGAATACTTTGTACTGGGAATGCCTATTCGAGCTTCAGATTTCTCAATATCTTCCATGAATTTAAAGTCGATGTCCAAAGTGCTGGAGTCTTTGACTTGGGGAAGAAAGAAGAAGAAACGCATTAGCTCCTTGGAGTGAACCGCAGGGCCAAGGTTCTTCTCGGGCTGCTGCCCGCTCCCAGGTCTAGTTCAGAGTTGCCCAGGCCAAAATCGGGGTGCCCTGGAAAACAGTACGGAAAACAGGCCAACAGTCATGTAAACGCTCACTGTGCGGCCAGTGGAGCGGGGTAGGGGTGGGGGATGGGATGCCGAACCGGCCCCCCTTACCGACGTTGAGAGGTAGGACACAGTATGCTGAGTCGGCGTCTGTTGGCTTAAATTCGAGGGCCGGCTTCTCAAGGCGCAGAATGTGCGAGAAGATGTACTGGTGGAGTCTCGTAACCAGCTCAAGCATTTGGCGAGACAAGGTGAAGCCAGACTTCTTCAGCTCGATCGATATGGTGACCTCGCCCGAGCGAGTGTACACAGGGAAGTGCGGGATCTGAGCCAGGGAACAAAACAGCCCCCACCCAGGGGTGAGAAGGCGTTTCACCCAGGGCAGCTCTGGTTGTGCGAGAGGAGAAATGCTTTCTTATCAGGGTGGATGGAAAAACCTCGATTTTAAGATTTGACACAGAGAGATCACTTTAGAATGGTGTTCTTTTTCCAGAAAGTGTGTGTGTGTGAGAGACACAGAGAGAGAGAGAAAGAGAGAGACAGACAGACAGCAAGCTATGGCTGAGGGGCTGTGTGTGTGTGTGTGTGTGTGTGTGTGAGAGAGAGAGAGAGAGAGAGAGAGAGAGCGACAGACAGACAGACAGCTGAGAGAGAGAGAGAGAGAGACAGACAGACAGACAGCTGTGGCCGAGGGGCTACCTGAGGGATGGGTTTGGCTGTCAGGATGCCAAAACATCTGGCAGTGTCCTCAGGCGGGTAGAGCTTCCTCCTCCTGAAGTTGAGCTCGTCCGGCAACGGTGTGGTCAGGACCATGCCGATCACGTACAGGTAGCAGGGCTGCTCGGGCCGAGGGTAACTGTCCCGCAGACACTCGGGAATCTGGGTCGGGAGGATGGATTCAGGAGCAGCTCAAGGACTGGAAGACGTCAGCTGCTCCCCCTTGGCCCTCCAGGATGCCACCCCCACGCTAACCCTCCGCTGATGTGTGCCCCTCACCCAGAGGGTGCCCTTCTCAACTCGCCTAGTTTTCCGGACAAGTCGGTTCTTGTCTTACCCCACACACAGGGAAAGCGGAAACACTCCCCGAAGGGTGAAACACAGCTCCCTGAGTGAAATCATCTGCCGTGTGGGGTCTGCCACCGAGCCCGAGAGCCAGCCATGACCCACCGGGGTCCCAGGAGGGGCTGTTTCGAGAACAGTGGGGGCTGGGGCAGGAGTCCTGATCCCCCTAGTGGGCAGCCCCTGGGGGCTGGGGAGGTCCAGCAGAGGAACGTAGACTGGCATGGGCAGGCTGGTGGGCCACTGGTCCAAACCAATACTAACTGCTTTGGGGTAGCACTGCCTTCGCTTTGTGGAGCCTGGTCTTCCCGGAACGCTGGTTTCTTCTTCGTCGTGTAAATCAAGCTCTTCTTCATATTTCACTGTCTCCTTCCCCACGGGCATCAAGTGGTCATCCAGCTCACCTGAAAAAGACTGGCTACTTGAGCACCCAGTCCAGGAGGCAGGTGCAAGAAGAAAGGAAAGCCAAACCCTGCCAGCGCGTGGAGTCTAACCCCCAGAGACCACTGCCCCGGGGCGCTCCCGACCCTGTCTCGCTCTATGGAGCAGAAAGCCTCGCCTTTCTCCTGGGGGATGGCTGAGGGTTTCGAACTTCTGACTTTGGGTTAGCAGCCATGTGTGAGCTCCTTGCCACGCCACAGCATCTGTGCTTTCATGGCGAGTTTTTAAAGTGAGGCCAACTACAGATCAGTTGTATAAAAGATGCTGTGTTAACTGCTTTTGATGGTACCAACTCTGCGGTGGTAATCATAATTCAGGGAGTGCACAACCATCACACAATGTGTCTGCAGAACTTCTGCATCATGACAGACACTCTCCAGCCCGTTCAGGGTATGTTCCCCCCTCCCCCTCCCCCAGGGCAGCCGGCACCTCTGCACTTCCCGAATCCAGAGCTTTCCCACAGGCAGGAGCACCTCTGCTGCCTCCGAGCATGAAGGTCATAGAACTGGCACTTTAGGCAAAGCCCTTTTTGGCATTCAGTTATTCAGAGTAAGCGGGAGCAGAGAGCCCCCCTCCACCCCAAGATTAAAACAGAAAACACCTAAACAAGAAAGAGAGCCACACTTCCAATCATACAGGCAGAGGGCGTGAGTCTTCTCAAAGAGTCTATGGATGAGCTTGCAACCCCGTGGAAACCAATCGGAGGGGCTGGCTACTAAACACACATGTCCAAGAGTCAGCACAGGAGAAGGCCTTGACGTGCTCAAACCCACACTCAAACTCAACATGACTCTGCAGGTCAGTGAAGAACTGCCCCTTCGACTTCCCGAGACTCATCTTTCTCCTTGGGAGAGGCTGGTGGTTTTGAACTATTGACCTTGAGATTAGCAGTCCAATGCAGAAACCCTAGGCCACCAGGGCTCCTGCGTGTGTGTGTGTGTGTGTGTGTGTGTGTGTGTGTGTGTGTGTGTGTGTGGTGTGTGTCTCTCTCTCAACACTTCACTGTGGTTTAGGTGAATGTTTAATAGAAGACCAGGTTCTCAGTTAGCGACATTGACACAATTTGTCCCGGGACATTTGTGACATTTCCTGAGTATGTCCACATGCTCACTGTTTCCTTTCCTTGGTCTCCCTTCCATTCCTCCACTTCCCCACCACCCCTCTGGCCTGAGGGGTTATCTAAGGGAGCATGGGGTGCGGGCGGCAGTGTGGACCCCACGCAGTCTACTGTTTGCGTACAAGGGGACTCTGGGGCAGCTCTGGAGCGGAGCATACTCCCTGGCAGCCTTACCAATCTTGTGCAGTTTTTCACAGCAGATAAGAGCCACAGCCCTCTCGGCCAGCCGGACGCAACTCATTGGTGGACCCTGGAAGTACAAGAAGGTGCCCGTCACCATGTGCCCACTGTGCCCACGCGGACACGTCGCCAGCAGCTCAGCCGCTGTCCTCAGAGCTCGAGTCACCACAGGAGAGAGCTCCTTATTCTGACAACCGCGCTGACCGCCACGTGTGAGCGGTGCATCAGAGACGAGGAGAACGAAGATGCTCTAGACCTGGGGGTGAATTTGGACTTGGGTCATAACTTTAAAGGCACTCGCTCGTTTACGGATTCACTTTGATCCAACAAGAGAAAGACACACAGGGAGGGGATCACAGTCCAGGGCCACTTCTCAGCACAGTGGAAACCAGCCAGCTGTGAGCAGCTGGAGAAGAGTGTGGGGGCCGAGGGCAGGGGCTGCTGCAGAAAGGGGGATCCCTGCGTTGGTCACTGGCAAGACTGAAGCCCCGGCTGGAGGAGTTAAGCAGAGACGCTGTGTTGATGAGAGCTGAAGGAGATCCCACAGGTCATCTAGAACAAGTCCAGAGTCAACATCCCCTCAACTACAAAAGAATGGCAGAGCCACGCCCACAGTCGTGAGTTGATTCCGACTCAAAGCCCCCTAGAGGAAGGACAGAGTAGAACTGCTCCAGTGGGTTTCTGAGGCTGGAAATCTCACAGGAGCAGGCTGCCTCATCTTTCTCCCTTGAGGCAGCTAGTGGGCTCAAACTGCCAACCTTTCTGTTAGCAGCCCAATGCTTAACTCACCACTCTGCCGGGGTTCCTCTTTCCTAAGTAGATCTTAAGACCAAATTTACCTCTGACTTGCATAGTCTAGAGAAGTTGGGGTGGGGGAAGTGGAGGGGGCGCACCATGAAACAACCTGTTTTTCAAGGCATGAGGGTTTCTTCTTCTAAACTTACAACAATGGAGGCACGGAGAGGCGAGTTAATCGGCAGGTAGAGAGTGGAGTAAAATGCACCATCCGGCAGCTCTCGGGTCCTACACTTGGGAGCCAGGTGAGTGAACGGGTCGCTGGGTAACCTGGCACAGTACCTGCAGAGAAAGGAAACCCCTCGGCTGAGCTGGAGGACCACGGCAGCGCTGGTGCCAGGCCCCTAGGGAGCCCCCCTCCTATCAGCCCAGGATTCAGACACAGAGCCTGAACTCCGAGGGTCCCAGCCTTTCGGCGAAGTGGACAGTGCTGTGCAAGCAAACGTTCAGCCATGATGGGCTGGCCAAGCCAAGTGCCACTCAAGGACAGAATACCACATTTAGTTAGTTAACTGTCTGAATTAACACCACTGCTGACTCAGCTGCAGAAAGCACGCTTGAACCTGTTGAGTGCCCATCACCAGCACTTGCCCTTCAATCATCTCATTTGCCAGGAGCTACTGGGAGCTGCTCCAGAAAGGTCCTGGCAGGTGGTGGCGGCCTGAGAAGGGCATCTGGGCAGTGAGGACCCTAGCAGCAAGCAGCACAAGGACGATGTCGGAGCAGGGCCGTAAGGCAGGGGAGGAAACTAGGGCCGAGGACAACGCTAGGCCAGGGGCATGTGGGTATCTCTGTGATGTCAGGAACCAGGGCCCCTGGGGAACAAGCCCGGTCCAAGGCTGGGCAGACAGAGCCAGGGCACTGTACCATGGCAGGACGTAAAGTATCTGCGGACACTGCAAGCAACCACACAGGCCCAGAAATGAGCCCCAAAGGGCTTCCGCAGCCAGGGCAATCCAAACATCAAAATGGATCAAATGATGTGCACAGGCTGTGAACCCCTGGGTCCAACAGGAGCCCATAAACTCAGCTTGAGATAACAAGCCGTCAGTGAAGATAAATGGAACATAGGAACACATCTTTCTTATAGCAGAATGCCTACCGACAACCCTCTTACTGCCATCAAGTCCATGCCAACTCAGGGACCCTACGACCGTGCAGAACGGCTCCTCTGGTTCCCCAGTGTGTACTATGGGAACAGGAAGGCCCATCTTTCTCACGTGGAGTGGCTAGTGGTTTCGAACTGCTGGCCTTGTGATTAGTAGGCCAACACATAACCCCTACACCACCAGAGCTCCTTGTAATACGCACAGAAAGAATGAGGGCATTAGAAAACACTTGGCAGCTGTCACAGGAGTAATTAATCCACGCAAGAACCACCGATGCGGGCTCACACCAACGAGTGAGAACGGGACGAGGCCTCCTTTGCTGTGGGCGCAAAGCACCTCCCCGTGGGTGTGGGCAGCTTGCTACTCGAAGGGTGAGGGTAAGTTTTGCAGAAAAGAGGTAAGACTTGATCAAAGTGATCAAAGTTGAGACCACGTGATGGGACACATGTGCCACACGTGTGTACGTGTGTTTAGAGCACAGCATCACTTCAGTAACCTGCTGGTGAAAATGCAGAGCCTGGGTCCTGATCATGAGAGAACCACATTCCCCCACAGGGTCCCTGTGTCCCTGAAGATGTGCCACTCCTGTGGTTGTAACATGCTGTCCAGTAGGGTCCTCCTCACAGAGGCCCCACGTAAGAGTGTAACTGCCCTGTAAGGTGTCCAGGCCAAACCGTGACCGTGACCGTGACCGGAGTGGCCGCCCTGTCTTCACCCCCAGGAGGAGCCAGGTGGGTCCCCAGCACCTGCTACACGGCTGTGCCACGAGGGCTTCTTGAGGGAGGCCAATCCAGGAACGTGGAGGACCCTCTGGCCACAAAGTGAGTGCTCGTGAGGTAGGAACAGACATCTCTAGGGCAGCGGTTCTCAACCTGCAGGTTGCAACCCCTTTGGGGGTGGAATGACCTTTCACGGGGGGTCACCGATTCCTAACAGTAGCAAAGCAAGTTATGAAATAGCAATGAAAATAACTTTATGGTTGGGGGTCACCACCGCCTGAGGAACTTGTGACAGGGTTGCAGCGTGGGGAAGGTTGAGAACCACTGCTCTAGGAGAAGGGTTCGTGGGAGTTCTCTGTAATATTCTTGTACCTTGTTAGCCTTTGAAACTAGCAGGGGAAAACAGAAGAAACGTCTCTGTCTGTGCTTCTACTTCCATCTCAGTGACACTGACCCCGCAGGCCACCTAGGAAAGACACATGCTGCTCCTAGATCTTAGCATCTCCAGCTCAAGACCAAGCAGAGGAAGACACGCCACGATGCAGAGTAGCCTGTCATCTTACAGGACTGCGAACGGAACTCCAACAGGACCCTCCTGGGATGCTCAGCCCCAAATTCCCAGACTGAGAGAAAAGCAATACCCCACTGCCTCAAAAGCAGCAAGTCTCATGATGTCAGGCGCCGAGCAGGCCAACCACTCTGCTACAGCCGTGGCTGCGTTGTCACGACAGCGGTACGAGCGTGGGGTGGGGGAAGCAACTTGTTTCTTATCTCATCAGAACGACAAGACTGGTGACTGCCTCCAATAATAGGGCTGCCGTTCGGGACTGCCACCTACCTGTTGACGTGTCCAATGGCTGTATTGATGGTGACCCTGGGGCCACCATCATCTGGCCTCAGTACGTATGGGGGGAAAACATCGTCGTCGTCCACAACAGGCTCAATGTCGGTCTCACTGGTGTCCACCGACTTGGAGCACTTATTTCTCAAGATCTGAATGTTTTAGAAACAGAACTTGAGATGAGTAAAAACAGAAAAACACCTTCTTTGCCCTCAGTGAGTCCTGTGCTTCTGTGCCTGCGGGAAAGGCTCTTTCAGCAGAAGCCTCCTGTTCAGCTCCCTGGGCAGACTCCAGCAGGCCAAGCGCCACCAGCTGCAGGAGACGTCTGATGAGCCCACCCCAGCGCCCACCCAATGGAGACACTCACCACCCCGGCTCAAGGCTTATCGTGCGCCATATACTCTCTCTCTCTCTTTCACAAACACACACACACACACACACACACACACACACACACACACACACACAGAGGAAGTCATCAATCCCTGTCCCCATTATCAGAACTGTCCCAGAAGAGCCTTCTCTGCCCAGATCCACATGACACTGCTGTTGTATTAGGGACCACTGCTGGGGTCACTCCCGACTTCCTGGTGCCGTGCGTGGGGTGGGTCACCTTCTTCACACACAGAGACGGCAACTGCTGGGGGCCGGGTTGCTTCCTGGTGCTGCTCACCTGTTCAATTGCCTTGTAGGTTTTAAGGTCTTCTTCAAAGCTTTTTATTTTGTCCGTATCTGCGAGCATGATGTAATTAGAGATCGGGGCCCTGGCTCTTCCCTTGGACTGAACGTAGGACCGATACTCTGTGGGCAAATCAAAACGAACCACCAAGTTGCATTTCGGTATATCCACGCCCTCCTCTACGATACTGGTTGCAATGAGCAGGTTGGTCTCATGGGCTCGAAATTTCCTAAGGACCTAGGGGTCGGGGAGAGAGGGTGGGAAAAAAATCAACCAAGAAAAAGCCATCCTAAGAAGTGCACCTAAACCCCTTTACAGTGATTAACATCCTAGAGTTCACAATACAGCAAACACAAGTGACAACTGTCATTTCTGACCTATACTTTGCAAGCACTGAATAGTTAAAGTGGCAGCTAAAGAGGCCAGTGAGACAGAAAGCGCAGGACATGTGGACACCCCGGCAGAGAAGCCTGGGCTCAAGGGACAGCCCTTTTCTGCTGCAGCACCGGGGTTCGGAGTCATTGTATAGCTACACATGAGCACGCTTCAAAACATTCAGGGACAATGGAACTAAAAGACAATGAAATTTTCCCACAAACTTTTTGAAAGATTCCCCTGCCCTAAATAGTTACACATGCACGCACGCACGCACGCACACACGCAGGCATGCACGCACAGGAACACACACACATTTTACCGGAGTGCCTGTCTGTTACGTGAGGTAACAGAAGCCCCAGGCTCCCAAGGCTGTCAGTCTTACAGGAAGCTGACAGCACACCCTTCTCCCGAGGAGGAGCAGTGGACTGCACACTTTAACTGCTGTGCCACCCTGCTCCCATGCAGGGTGCCCTGTGGGAGCCATGTGCTGCGACAGGTGCCACAGCCCTCTTGGGGAAACTAGAAGCCACCGGGGGAGGGAGCTGCACAACAAGGAGCTCTCCAGGGCACCTGGGACCTCCAACTGAAGGAGCGAGAGCCACGGTTCAAAGAGCAGAGTAAGTCTTCCCTGTTTTGCTTGAAATACGTGTGGTTCTCGAGCCCATGGTCACTTCAACCACACGCTAAGCGGGTTCTGAGAAGGTCAGGGATGGCCCAACTCAGGCTCGTGCTAGAGTCTGGCAGGTGGTCACGCCTCCGTACTGGGGAAAGTTACGCTACAGGAACCACCTTGCTAAGCAACTGGCACACAGCAAACTTGGCAACAAAGAAGTCGTTTGTTGGTTGGTGAGATCCTGTTCCTGGTTGTAGCATCTTCCCAATGCTGACCCCGTGCTGAGCCCCTAGAGAGCACGCAAAGATAAGGCAACCAAAGAGACACACACGCTTCCCTGGCACACGTCTCTGCCTCCTGCGTGCACGTGATGGGCGCATCTGCTTCTCTAAGGGTGATAGGCCACCACCTCAGAGGGGATGGGATGGCCGAGGATGCTAACTTCCCATCTGTGCAGCCCTCAACAGCTGCCCCAGAGTCACCTGCCACATGCTGGGCACTGTGGCCTGCCTTCCCAGGGAATGGCGGCCGTGCGTCATGCTCAGAGGACGTCTATCGACGAGCTCACCTCTTCCTGTTTCCTGAACTCAGCCTCCATCTGCTTGTTGCGAGGCTGGTTCTTCCCGATGCCATGCCCAGTGATGAAATTGCTGCTGATGTAAGCCAGCTCCGGGTCCTGCTTGCCCGCTTCTTTGATCAATCTAAGGACAAGACGTCAGAGCAGTGCTGAGGGGAGGGGACACATCCTCGACACCGAGTCCGCCACCTTCCTCACAGCGGAGGCAAAAGGTCTAGGGGACGCCACTGACGGAACGGGACCTCTCGACCTGGCGGAGGAGGGCGTGCCAAGAGGAAGCGAGTGTCCCTGGATAAGCAAGCATGGGAAGATGGGCCGCACCCCGTCTGCTTGCCTGCTGACCGGGTCAGGCCCACAGCCCTGCCATCTGCAACCCCCCCACCCCACCCCCTACACACACACACACACACAGACCAAACCAAGGCTGTGCCGTGCTGGTAATAGAAAGGTCCCATCACCCCGGGTGCTCGGCGTGGCACAGATGACAGGGCCAGGCAGGACAGAGCAGTGTGTGTCGCCACCCTCAGCGCCTTGGCTTGGGGACAGAACTTTGGGGGGGGAGGGGGAACCCCGCAACCTACAGCCCAATGTGTTTCCCCGGCACAGGCATGGATGGAACTGTCCCACCCCCATAGCACCCACAGACACCACAGCCTAGAGGGCCCTGCTCCCGCGCCTGTCACCAGAGCCGTCAAGCAGACAGAAAAGGCTCCATCACCCCTCATCTCACGCACCCCTGGACGCTCAGGTCGAGCGAGCTGTCGGGGAAGAAACAAGGGTCTCTGGAGAAGCCCTCGACCCCTACACTTGGTGGCCTTCTGGCCCTGCTCCCCCGCTGGAGGGGGCAGAACTTGGCGCCCCTGCCCAGCCTGCTAGCGGGCACAAGAGGCCTCACTGTGGCCCCTTCTGCCAGCCCTCCAGGGATGCCCAGGGCTAGGCACCCAGGAGCCAGCAGAGGGCAGACAGTGCTGCCAGGCAGCAACTCAGGAACCGCAGCCTCCATGGAAACGTGAGGTCGGAGCACGGCCGTGGTCCCCATGCCACGGCAGCAGCAGAATGCGAGTCCAGCTTTGACTCCCCTCCCCACAGAAGCAGACGGACTGACAGCAGGCAGCGGCCGAGCCTGCCTGGAGGGCCCTTCCCAGGCGGCCCCTGTGCAGTGTCACTCTTGTCGGAGTCTGCCCTCAGTGCTGGAGCTTCAGGAGCGCAAGTACGGCCAGAGCCTGCTGCTGGGGTCCCGGTGGGGCAGGAACAGGCCACCATCCCATCGGGTCCCACAGGGAGAAGGTGAGTCCGTGTGAGCGAGCACCAATGTCACTGCACCGAGGTTACAAGCAAGAACGTCGAGCCTCCCTGTTAGATGAAGATGCCACACTTGCCAAACCGCCACCTGGCAGACTTCACTCCGCTGAAACAGACGCTCGAAGGAATCGTACGAACACCTCCTGAGGGCACCGCTCCCACCCCAGCAGTTTCAGACCACCAGCCACTCCCCAGGAGAGACGGGCTTCCTGCGCCATACAGAGTGACCGTCTCGGAAGCCCACAGGGGCATTCACAAAAGTGAGAGTGGGCAGAACTCAAAGGAAGAGGGCCACCTGGGCAGAGGGTGACTGGGGCTCCACGTCTAAGGGCTGTCTTTACTGACCCGTCCTCCCTGGGGTGCTTCTGTCAGGAAAACCTGTCCCTTTTACCCACTTATTGAGCTACCATTAACCAACTAACTTTGCCAGTGAACTTGCAATTATCTCTTCCCCACAGTGGGTCAGACTCCACCCTGATGTCTTTGGCCACTGGGGCGCTCTTGGAGAGCTGACACACACACACACACACACACACACACACACACACCGTTCCTGTGACTGGTCCCCATCTAGCAGCTTCTCCAGGCTGGCCCTCCCTGTATTCTCCCGGCCCGCACTAGAACCACGTGTCTCTTCAGGGGTAATGCAGGCACCCTCTAGGGCAGTGGTTCTCAACCTTCCTAATGCCACGACCCTTCCATACAGTTCCTCATGTGGTGGTGACCCACAACCATAAAATCATTTTCACTGCTACTGCATCACTGTAACTTTACTACTGTTATGAATTGAGCGGCCCCTGGGAAAGGGTTATTCCACCCCCAAAAGGGGTCGCAACTCAGAGGCTGAGAACCGCTGCTCTAGTGTTTCCACTCTGTAACCCTTCACAAACGCCGGCTGCTGCGATTTCTCTGAGCGGCGGGGCTTTATGGCCGAGTGCTTGGATGCTGCGTCACCAGCGGAGGGCTGTGTTACCCTAGAGCTCCAGCCTGATCCAGAGACAAAGACGAGGAGTCCCCAAAGTGGCGGCTACTTCTGCAGAGCACGGGCCAGCACGCCCACGGTGGCCAGGACCCCACAAAGGACCTGGGCTGGAGGAGACAGCCACCAGGCTCACACACCGGGGCCTGCCTGACGTCACTGCACCCGAGAGGGCGCTGGGTGAAACTGCTCTGAAACAAGCGCTGGTGAGCAACAGGGTGGGTGGGAACCTGGGTTTGTCCACACGCAGTGGCAGGCACTTCAAGCCTGGAGCCATCCTGCGACTCGTCACCCGTGCGAGCTGGTTTCCTCCTCTGTGATTTGGCACAGCGATGGCCGGCCAGCCAGCTGACCACCTCGCCTCGTGGATGGTTATAAAAGCGTAAGGAGGAGGTAAAGGGAAAAAGGCAGCTGAGACCAGAGTCCCGGATGGCTCCGAGTCAACGGGAGGACGTAAGCGTGAGTGGGGCCTGCAGCCCGGCTGGCGTTTTCACCGGGCAGGAGAGAGCTGCGCCTACTCCACCGGCTCGGCCCCCCGACGCTCATCACTGAAGAAGGGCTTTTCCTCCCATCCAACTGATGGAAGGAAAGAACCTGCAGTCCAGGAAGTTTCCCTAAGCTTATTAAAACGCTTACTGGAACAAGACCTCGATTGTACCAGCAATTAGCTGCCTATAAAGTCGGCCTGCAGCCTGCTCTCAGTCATCACACGACACCACATTCCAGCCTCGTTCCAGGAACACGGATCGCAATTCATCTGATCCTTGCAGCCACGGGCTGATTAGGGCAAAGCTCCTCAGGTTAGCGTTCCTGCCAGGCCGGCCAGCACAGAAAAAGGCCTGTGTTGAAGGCGGGGGCGGGGATGTGAAGCGTCCCCTCCCCCTCACTTCTCGCCAAGCCCGACACAGGCCGCTTCTCCCACACTGGTGGAGGCGGGGCTTTGATCACGAGGCTCAGGCGCCTCGGAGCCCGTTCTACGCGATGCGCAGCAGCCCGGCAGTCTGGGGCTTCACAGGCGCAGGGGCAGCAGAACAGGGGCAGGGGGTCCCAACTCTCCAGACCGTCGTCCTTTTTCATTTTTTTCTTTGGCTGCGTGGGTCGGCTCCGACGCTCTGCAAGGCGTCTTTTTGTCCCGAGCGTGTGGCTGGAAGGGCATTCGCCCCCAAGTTGTTGGACTTCACAGTCATCGGAGGGAAGGGCCAATGACTGCAAATTACCCGACTGAGAACTGCCAGACGACCACCCTAGAGCCCAATTTTTCATTACTTGAAAAATTCTTTAAAACCTCTAAACATTCAGCAGCAGTTAAGAAAGGGGGAGTGGAGGGAAGACAGACAAAGAAAAGCCCAATTACCTCAGGAAGCAAAGCTGAATTTTTCCTCAGAGATCACTACTTATAGAAAATGCTCTTGGGGATCAGCTTGGGCCAATTAATAGATCTCACAGAAAAGACCACTTCCAGTGCAAAATGAAGATACACCTCCCTTTGGGGCGGGGGCAGAAGCTACAGGCACACGTATCTGTCCACAAGCAAAGACCAGACTCCCCGACCATGGGGCACATGGTTGAGGCACATCCGCCAGGAAAAGTAAACTTTTACAACAGAAGTGGAACCCACAACCCACATTTTAGGGTTACCAGCACCCACTAATATTTCCAGAATTCTAAGCCTGCTTCCTCACCTCTGAGCCAGACAAGTGCACCTCAGAGCTTCTGAAGGCCCATCAACAAAAGATCCCAGCAGTTCTACCCAGCCCTCACCACTACCCCGCCCCGACTCCAGACACAAGTGTGCACCGCCAGGCAGAGTCCGCCCTGAGATGGAGGGGGAGGGGCCCCGGCAGAGTGCACCCTGAGATGGAGGGGGAGGGGCCCCAGCAGAGTGTACCCTGAGATGGAGGGGGAGGGGGGCCAGGGAGAGTGCATCTTGAGATGGAGTGGGGGCGCCAGGCAGAGTGTAC